GACTGCTTCTCTAACCAAAAAATAACCCTATGTACGACCGTAGGAATTTAATTATTCAGTTGCATTAAAGTTAGAAAAATCCAACCCTAATCAATAAACACGCTATGAGGGTTTATTTAAAATAGATCTTACGTTTCCCTAACACAAAGCCAATTATGATGGTTGTCACTAGTTGTCAACTAAACAAACAATTACGGATTCAATTTAATTAACGTGATAGTAGGCTATTAAATTAAATTAAATATCCGGTCGTTGATACTCAATTAATAAAATACGCATGAACAATTAATCTAGGAAACGCACGAATAGTAACAAATTGAAAGAAATAATGAAAATTCGATTAGATCTCACAAATATTATGGACCGCGCCTTCGCCACGACCTTTGGGTAGAAGAGAAATCTAGCCGCTCTTCATCATATCAATCTCGCGTGGTTTAATTAATTCCATCCACACAATTGCCAAAGAATTGGGAAAGATGAAACAACGAAGGAACGAAAGAGAAAGTCTCCTACTTTCTTTTCTTGTTTTGAGTTTGTATAGGAGAAAAGTAAAGAAAAAATCTACCGAAAATTGTCGAAGAGTAAATCGTCTAACTTGGAAGACTTAAAAGCTAATCTCCTAAGCCCACGTGATTCTGGTTTTTCTTCTATTCGCCGCCGCAAAAGAAAGGAAAGAACGTCCGACAGAACAAAGCAAAAGCTAATCTATATTGATATCACGTGAATATGGCTTTTTTCCTTTTGTAGCCACTGCCAACAGAAGGAAAAAACGTCAAAGGGCAAAACTTTCTCTAGGAGTTTTAATCCCCTGCAACTCCGCGGTCCACGTGAACTTGACTTCCTAATTGCCCTCCTGCTGCTACCAATCCCGCGGTTTGGCTTTTAGGCGTATCTCCTTAGTTCGTGGCGTGGGCACGTCATGAAATAAAAAGTCTTCTAGAAATTTGCCTCGCGAGAGCATTTTTTACACCAACCACCTACACTTTACACAAATACCAAATATAAGCAAAATGTCAACACTTAGCACCGTAAGTAACTAAAATTAAGACAAAATAACAGCGCAAAAGGTGCCTAATAGTTGCTCTATCAAATCCCCCTACACCTAGACAATGCTTGCTCTCAAGCATTTCGAAGCTCAGAAGCACAATCAAGATAGCAACGGTTTTATAGTCATCTATACTAACACAAACATCCCGTATTCCCGACAATATCGCCAAAATTAGAACATACCAGACAGGTGGTTATCCAAAGAATATGAACAGTAATACTCGTCACTTTCAAGAAAATGTATAAATACTAGGAACGCTCAAATCAACATTACGGGATGGAATTACCATAGGTTGCACATTTATCACATCTCCACCACTCAAAAGTGAACTAAATATACAAATCAAAGGAATTTTAATAGGGTTGTAATGGGGCTTAGGTAAAAAGCGGGATAAGAAGGTAAAAATAAGGTGTAATGTGTCAAAAGAATGTCTGATACCGACTACATAACTACAACGCTTTACCGGAGAAAGTTCACAAGCAAGGCATTTCCATTTGCTATACCCACTGTGCAAGTGCTGGAACTCTTTTTGTATTTTCTCTTTCTCTCTCTTATTTTTTTTTGAAGGGCATCTTGCAAGGCGTGGGCACGCCCTATAAGCCAAAGTCTTCTGTTCACCAGTCTATCGACAATTTCTCCCCTTTTTTTCTCTTTTTTTTTTTTTTCTTTTTTCTTTCGATCTTAGATGCACAAAACCAGCACCATACAGCTTCTATTCCAACAACACTTGTGATCCTAGATTTATTTCCCTTGCACAAGCAATAAAATCCAGACATCTCTTAAAGACACAAGGTTAAACAAGTAAGTCTAAAAAGGTCTTGGATTATCAAACACGGCTAACAAACAAGGGAGAAGAATAAACAGCTCGAATTGATTCACTATTGGTAGATAAGACGAAGGCATGATTTGTAGAAAACTAAAGAGGGTTAAATCCTAAATGCCCTTATCATTTCAAATGTATCCAGTTCAACAAAATGTGGCTTCGACATCTATAAAATAGCAAGTTCTAGAATGCCAATACCGTATGTAATACCCACTCAACAACACAAACGAAGCAAACAAGAACAATGTGCTCATGCCTGGCTCAAAAGCTCCCAAAAGTTTCAAGAATGGGTCAAGTCCAGCATATTCAACATTCAACAATATTGCCAAGGAAAACCAAAATGCAAAACTAGCATATATGACCATATATCCGTGCACCCTGATTATGCAATCCATCATAGCAATATGCTCTAACAGTTAACAGTTGTAGAACTAAAGAAGTCAACTAACTACATATTTTTTTTATTTTTTGATTTTTTGATTTTTTTAAGCAAAAAGAACTAATAGAAACCATTCCCCCCTACACTTAAAATCGACATTGTCCTCAATGTAGTAAAGGCAAAACAAAGTGTAAGATTAAAGGGGGCGACACTTCCCTGACTACCGAAAGGATGCAGCGAGACACTAAGGGGGAGGAGGATGAGGAGGTTGGAATCCAATATGAGCAAAGAAAGCTGTAGGATGAGGTGCGCGATGGGAGAATAGAGTGGCGTGCGGCGGGAGCGATGTGCAGTACGATGGAAGAGAGAGAGAATGGCGGCAACGCGGCGGTGGTGCGGGCTGGAAGTGGCGGCAGACGAATAGGAAAAACTAAAAAAGTAAAAATTGAAACTAAGACAAAACAATGGAAAATGAAAAGCAGAAACTAAGACAAAGGAAATTGAAAAGACCAGACAAAACAAGAAGAGAAGAAAGTAGAAAAGTGGGGTTAGAGATTGTCATGGTTACATTTGACTTTCGTTGTCGCAAAGGTTGGAAGACATGGGCACGCCTTGGAAGGTGAGGTCGTATGCCTATAATATGCCTGACACGATCTGCTGTGTGGCGTTGGCACGCCTTGGAGGGCGAGGGCTTCTGATCACCAAGTTTTACAAATGTCCATGCGCTATGAATACAAGGCGCGGGCACGTCTTGTAACATGAAGTCTTTTGCCTACGAATTTGTGCCCCCAACCCAAAATAAAACTGAACATAAACACCCATCATTTACAATAAAGATTTTTTGTCAATAGGAACCTAAACCCACTAATCTTGAACACACAAATATGAAATAAAACACAATTGAAATCCTTGGATTGCCTTCTAAGTAGCGCCTTTCTTTAATGTTTTTGCTAGACACTATACACCGCTCTTCAGTCTAAATGTAATCCAATTTTTCTTGTAATCAGTGGCCCTCCTTCGGGATCCAAATAGCCATTGAGTGTAACATTTTTCCTTAATTTTTTACCCATTTTCACCTCATGAATTGCTTTCATTGCATGATACTTGTTCGCAGTAACTTTGAATTTACTCCTATAAGCAAATTCAAAAAATTCTTGCACAGAAGGATTAGTAGCATGAATAGCAAACACAATGAGAATTAACAAGATGTTTCATTGTATCAAAAATATTAAAGTGGACTGTTTCTCCATCAAATTTCATCGTAAGAGTACCCTAACTAACATCAATCTTAGTCTGGGCAGTACTCAATAATGGCCTTCCTAATATAATGGGTGATGAATTTGAGGCACTTCTATCATCCATGTAAATCACATAAAAATCAGCAGGAAAAATTAATCCATCTACTTGCACTAAAACATTCTCAACTATCCCATCCGGATAAGTAAATGTAGGATCAGCTAGTTGAATTATTATCACTGTTTCTTTTAAAGGTCCTAAATTTAGGGAATCATAGATTGATTTAGGCATCACATTAATAGAAACCCCTAAATCTAGCATGGCATTTTCGATATTAGAATGGCCAATCTTACAGGGAATAGTAAACATATCTGGATCCCCGCATTTGGTTGGGAGTTTTCTTTGGAGTATAGCAGACACATTTTTCCTACTGTCACTCTCTCATCACCCCTTAGCTTCCTTTTGTTAATGCACAAGTCCTTCAAGAACTTTGCTTACTTGGGCACCTGTTTGATCACGTCCAATAGGGGAATGTTTACTTGTACTTTACGAAACACGTCCAGGATTTCTTTTTCCTTCTCCACATTCTTTGTCTTTTGCAACCTGCAAGGAAAAGACGGTAAGTTAGATTTAATAGGAATTGAAGGAGTGAACGTTACCTTAGGGTCTTCGCGAATGCACCCTTCTTTTTCAATCTCCTTTTCGATCTCTTCTTCACTTTTACTCTTTAGGTTCGTGGCCTTAGACCCCTCCACTTCCTTGCCACTTCTCAGTGTCATGGCACTTATATTCTTGGGGTTTGTCTCGGATTGCGATGGCAATTTCTAAAAAACTTGGGACTCTAAATGATTAATTGTAATTGTCATGTGACTTATTTGAGTCTCTAGATTTTTCATGTCTGATCTAGTTTTCTGCTGGAACTAAGCAGTACTCGTGACCAGGCTCTTGACAATATCCTCCAAAGATCTTCCTGAATTAGAGGACGAAGGTTGAGGCTTTGCTTGCTATGGTTGCTAAAATCCTGGTGGACGATTTGAGAATGAACTCTGTGGCCTGTTCCCATAGTTGAAATTGGGGTGGTCTCTCCAACCCGGATTGTACGTGTTCGAGTATGGATCGTACTGCCTACAAGGCGTGGGCATGCCTCTAGCCATGTTTACTTGTTCTGCCCCATCCTCTTGCAAAATAAGGCATGAATCAGTGGGTGGCCCACGTTCGTGCAAATTCCACAGACCTTTGCTTGATGCACGTTCCCCACAGCTAATTGTCGAACAAAAGATGTTAGCTCCGATAGCTGCTGTTGAATGGACAACTTCTCTACCTCGTTAACCCTACGAGTAGGGTTACTGTCACGGAAGCCAAATTGTTGAGAATTTTCTGCCATAGCTTCGATAAGTAGCCATGCTTCCTTCAGTGTCTTATTTGCCAGTGCTCCCCCACTCGCAGCATCAATGATACTCCTATTAGACGACTGGAGTCCCTCATAGAAATATTGGATCAATAGTTATTCACTAATTTGATGCTGTGGGCATCTAGTGCACAACTTATTAAATCTCTCCTAATAGTCATATAGGAATTTCTCCAGGATACTGATTAATACTGCATATCTCCTTTCTCAGACTTGCAACCCGAGATCCAGGAAAGAATTTTTTCAAAAATTCTTTTTTCAGTTGGACCCATGTTGTGATACTACTTGCAGGTAGGTAATACAACCAATACTTTGCTGCATCCTTGAGGGAGAAAGGGAAGGCTCTTAGTTTGATCTGTTCCTCAGTAATTCTTGAAGGATTCATACTGGAGCATACCACATCGAACTCTTGGATGTATTTATAAGGTTCTCACTCGAGAGGCCATGAAATGTGGGTAAGAGGTGAATTAATTCCGACTTCAATTCGAAAGAGGTATTCTCAGCTAGAGTTAGAAATGTGATGTACAACGGCTGTTGAGGCAATTTCAGAGTAGCCAACTCCCTTAGTGTTCTTGCATTCGTCATAGGAACATCCTCTTGACTTAGGTCACTTGAATTATCACCACTTGAATCTGTTGATTCAATCTCTAGATCCAATCTCTGAGATGCAGTGCTAGATTGCTCCTCTCTGAGCTGTCTAGTCTCTTTCCTAGTTCGACGCACAGTCTTCTCTACTTCCGAGTCGAAAATCAATTCGCCAGAAAAATGCCAGACACATCCAAAGAAAACAATTTAGAAAAAAATAAAATTAACCAAAACACCGTTCCCCGGCAATGGCGTCAAAAATTGACAAGTGTCGAGTCTGTGCAATAATAATTACTAAAAAGTCCTAATTACCACCACAATTAATTATAAAACAAATCCAAGTACTAGAGTAAGGACTCTAGGTGTGTAATGGGTTACTTGATTCACCCTGTTCCCAAAAAATTTACTTGATCCGATATACCAGAATTATCTATAAAAGTATTAAATTTGCATACAATAGCAAGTAAGGTCGATTCCACAGGGAACAGATAGGAAGTTGTTTCTTTCCAAGTTAATAGAACAAAATTGGGGATATTTAAGGGAATGAAGATGAAAATAAAATAAACAAAATTCAAAAACTAACTCAACAAGTACAATTTACTAAAAATAGCAATTAATAAAATTTTACCCAAAGGATCAACTTTTCAGGTACGGTCCAATTAAATGATGATCGATGCAAAGATATTTCATTCATTCATCACTAGGTTGGTTATAGCCAACAACAAGCTCTGACAGCCAATTCTTCCTTGCTTTTTGACAGCCAAGGTACGACCGTTGATTGCTTTTCTAACCAGAAAATAACCCTATGTACGACCGTAGGAATTTAATTATTCAGTTGCATTAAAGTTAGAAAAACCCAACCCTAATCAATAAACACGTTACGAGAGTTTATTTAAAATAAATCTTACATTTTCCTAACACAAAACCAATTATGGTGGTTGTCACTAGTTGTCAACTAAACGAACAATTACGGATTCAATTTAATTAACGTGACAGTAGGCTATTAAATTAAATTAAATATCCGGCCGTTGATACTCAATTAATAAAATATCCGTGAACAATTAATCCAGGAAACGCACAAATAGTAACAAATTGAAAGAAATAATGAAAATTCGATTAAATCTCACAGATATTATAGACCGCGCCTTCGCATCAACCTTTGAATAGAGGAGAAATCTAGTTGCTCCTCAGCATATCAATCTCGCGTGGTTTAATTAATTCCATCCACATAATTGCCAAAGAATTGGAAACGATGAAACAATGAAGAAACGAAAGAGAAAGTCTCCTACTTTCTTTTCTTGTTTTGAGTTTGTACAGGAGAAAAGTAAAGAAAAAGTCTACCGAAAATTGTCAAAAACAACAGCAGAGAGTAAATCGTCTAGCAGGGAAGACTTAAAAGCTAATCTCCTAAGACTTAAAAGCTAATCTCCTAAGCCTACGTGATTCTGGCTTTTCTTCTATTCGCCGCCACAAAAGAAAGGAAAGAACGTCTGACAGTACAAAGCAAAAGCTAATCTATATTGATATCACGTGAATCTGGCTTTTTCCTTTTATAGTCGCCGCCAGCAAAAGGAAAAAACGTCAAAGGGCAAAACTTTCTCTAAGAGTTTTAATCCCCTGCAACTCCGCGGTCCACGTGAACCTGACTTCCTAATTGTCCTCCTACTGCTACCAATCCCGCGGGTCCGGCTTTTATGTGTATCTCCTCAGTTCCTGGCATGGGCACGCCATGGAATAAAGAGTCTTCTAGAAATTTGCCTCGCGAGAGCACTTTTTACACCAACCATCTACACTTTACACAAATACCAACTATAAGTAAAATCTCAACACTTAGCACCGTAAGTAACCAAAATTAAGACAAAATAATAGCGCAAAAAGTGCCCAATAGTTGCTCTATCACAGATGGTTTATTTCATGGCAATAGGGATAATTTTTATTAGAAAGAATTAATACTCCCAATAATCAGAAAATGGATTGGATTATTTTATCTGACTTACTTGTGTCATTAATGTGTTGCTGCAATCAGTCTACTGCCATTCATATGCTACTGCTATCAGCCTACTCACAACAGTATCAGTTATTTGTGTCATACTTTCTTTAAAAATTCTGAACGACAAATCTGGTTTGTTTCTCGTTTTATTTCATTTTAGATTATCTGTCATTCCCATGTTCTTTACCACATGTTCCTTCTATGCATGTGGCGACCTTTAGAATTCAAAATGCTGATTGTTATTATCATGTATTATATTAGAAAACATTTATTAGGATCGTTTGATATCTTAGACAACATTGATCTAGATCATTTCATGTCCAAGTTGTAAAAGCGAATGCTACAGAGTTCCAATTGAGAGAATTACGTACTCAATCTTTTGGATGATCATCCTTCGAGAATGAGAAATGTTCATTTCCCTACCTAGCTTTTGAACGGTCAGAAATGGCCAAGTTGTTGCCTACGACATTGCTGGATATGACTTGTTCTGTGCTTAATTTGCACTTTGGAGTTCTTAGGTTGTAACTACTTAGTTGACGATTCATAATTTGCTGAATTTTATGCTAAATCATCTGCAAACCACCATAAACAGGATCTCAAGGAGTTTATTTGGGAATGTTAGCATTCACAAGAAGATGATTTCATCTTCTGTTTCTGTATTACCGGTAATTGGATTTCTATTCTATTTGTTTATCTTAATATAGTTCTGTTAATCAGCAGTAACTGTAATAGCGTATCATCTATTCCAGTTATTCACTGTTATTGCGGCACAGCTTGCATCCACTACCATTTATATATTATTGTTACCTTAAAATAGAAAGAATAGGTATAGCAGCATGGCTCAAAGTCGTGGTCGCGACCCGAACCGTTCCATATTGATCTCGGCATATCAGTCGCGGTTTCAGCGAGACGCGAATTTTTGAAATATTGTAAAAAATATGATAAATAAAAAGAATTTAAAAATTAGTAAAAATAATAAAAATTCGAATTAATTCGGGATTACTCGGAATGATTTGGTGTGATTCGGTTATTTCAACCCTTCACTGTGACGTTTCAGCGAGTCAAGTATCTCGAAATCATTTCGTCCCGGTATCATATCGGAAGGGCCGAGACGGTGACGACTCGACCGAGTCTTTGAACCATAAGCAGAGCTTTTGGACGTTGTGGTTTTTGTGGTACCTTTTGCTTCTGGTGCAACCTTCATCAACTATTGCCACTTCAGATTGTGGAGGGTTGTAGAATGGAGATAGTTTCCAAATTTGATAGCATTTATTCTGCTTTCGATGAGCTCCGTGACCAATGGAACGAGGAAACTAGAACACAAGATTTGTTGCTTTCCAGGAGATGCATAATGTTATGAATTCAGCGACTGCTCATGCCCAAGTTGCATTTCAAGTCATTTGAATCGATAGACTATACCATCCAAAGAAATGATCAAGGATTGGATGCTTCTGAGGGTGCTTTTGGATTTCGGTCTCAAGTGGAATGATACAGACCAGGTGCTTGCACAGAATTTTGGTCAAGAATCTCCCACTGCCGAAATCGTTGCTGCTGCTAAAAGATTGAGGAGGACCTAACAAACCATGTCGAAAGAAGTACCTTTCGAGGAAGCCTTTGGAATTGCCAAGTTTGTTCCATAACTGGGAAAGACGTACTGATCTTTTCAAGGTAGAATTAGAGAAGCACTAGAGTTTCAGTAAGCTTAAGCTTGCGCATTCCAAGTGCACTCTCTCTTTGCATGATTATGCTTGTTGATAGAGTTTGTTGATTCTGTAAAAGGAGAATATGCGGTATGTCATGCTCATTGTCCGTCGGTACAAGGACCCAGGATTTTCATATATTTCGTCTGTATCAATATTGCTTAATTTAGGGCTTTTAGATAGGGTTTTTTTTATTTATTTAAGTAGGATTATTATTATTATTGTTTGCATTGAGAGGCCATGCGACAGAAAGTAAGAAGAAAGATGCACGTTGAAACTTTAGAGGGAGTCAGGTGCCAAGTCTGGCTTCATGACCGATGCCGGACATCTTCTTGGTGATCATCCAAGGACTTCCGGCATGAAAACTATTGAATTCAAAGCCTCAATTGATGACTTTTCCAAGCCAAAATTGTTGAACTTTTTGGCAGAATTCTAATCCCACATCGGTTAGCTTAACATTTGAGAGGTTGCTTGAGAGTTACAAAATAACTCTCAAGCAACCCAAATTAAACACACCAGAAAAAGAATTCTTTTGTAATTCTTTCTTCTCCTAAATTATAAGAGCGGGTCGCTTAGGCGGTGTTCGGAGGTTAGGCAAAATTGACCGAATTCCGTTATCAATTTTCGAGTGCATTCTTTCCTTATCTCTTTTATTTATTCCGCATTTATTTAGTAGTTTCTTTTCAATTGTAGTATAGTATTCAATATATTTGTCGGGTTTATTTGTAGTGTTTTATACAATTCATTTGGGTGTATTTTCTTATTCGTATGTACGTATTATTTATGTATACACGGGTCTAGTTGTGATAATACACCGTGCACGTAAATTCTGCCATAGGAGATTGTGTTGACGCGAGCAATTTAAGGAGCAAAATCTGCTGTCAAATTTGGCAGGTTGTGTAAATATTTCGTTTTCTTATTTGTAATTAATTGTCTTATGTTTAGGCTGTAATATAGGATCTTGATGTACCCCAATTAGTATATATATAGGCTGTAATAACTTAAAAGTAAATATATGAGAACGATTCTCCATCATTTTTTCTACATGGTATCAGAGCAATACATAATGTAGAAACAGATTTTTTTTACTCTGCAACTATGAATGAAACAAACCCCTCCTCTTCTATTATTCCCCATGAATCTCGAATCATTGTCTAAGACAATACTCATTTTTCATCTGGAATCATCTTAGATGATACGAATTTTCCGTTATGGTCACAGCTTATAGAGATGCGTATTGGAGCTCGAAACAAATCTGGATTCCTTACAGGGACAACTCCAAACCTGCTGCAGATGACAAGCAATTGGAAGCCTGGCTTATTGATAATAACCGGGTTAAGAGTTGGCTTATTGACTCTATGAGTCCACTCTTGATGCAGCGATTCATCCGTCTTCAAACCGCCAAAGAAATATGGGAAGTAGTTGCAAAGACGTTCTATGACGGCTCAGATGAAACGCAACTCTTTGAACTGAATCGGAGATCATTTACTACTCATCAAAGTGGTAGACCCTTATCTGTATACTACAATGAACTTATTGGCATATTTCAGGAAATTGATGCTCGTGTTCAAACACAAGAAAATAATGCTGCTGTAATCATATCGCTGCACAAACATATGACTCGACTTCGAGTTCATATTTTTTGGCTGGCCTTGACCCAGAATTCAATCAAGCTCGAAGTGAAATTTTGAGAAAAGATCCACCTCTGGATCTTGAGTCATGCTATGCATATGTTCGCAAGGATCACAACCAGAGACAAACTATGGAGGAACCTAAAGTTCAATCAGATGGCATGGTTCACTTGACTGCCCCCACACGCCCTGCAAATGCCCAACAAACTAAAGGAAAAAAAATCTGGCACTAAAGGAAACAACTATACTTGCACTCATTGTGGTGAAGAGGGACATTCCAACAACGGTGCTATTAAATTATTGGGTATCCTGAATGGTGGGATTTTACAAAGAAACCTCGAAAGAAAATTGGACAAGCTGCCGTTACTACCACAACAGATGAGGAAGTGATTGTATCTACTTCAAACGCAGCTTCAGCACATGTTGCCAAGGCTGGTAATCCAGGTCTGCCCAAAACTAATCTTACTATGAATGATACATGGATTATTGATACAGGTGCTACTGACCACATGACAAACGATTCTACCCATCTTTCCTCTATTCGTTCATCAACTCAACCTCACATACTCACTGTTAATGGAGGAGTTGCACCCGTTACTGGCGAAGGATCAGTACATGTGTCAAATTCCATTAATCTTGATACTGTGCATGTAGTCCCTTCTCTTTCATCCAAACTTTTATCTGTTAGCAAAATCACAAAAGCCTTGAATTGTACTGTACGTTTCTGGCCTGATAAATGTCTTTTTCAGGACATTGCAACACAATGGACTCTTGGCTATGGTATTAGACGTGGGAATTTGTACTATCTTGATTTGGTCACTACAAACAATCAGATACCTGGTCAAGCAAATAAGATCGAAGGGAGTCAAGGAAACAAAGATATGGCATGGTTGTGGCACCGTCGTCTTGGTCATCTATCATTTAATTATCTTCGCAAATTGAAACCAAGTTTTTTTTACACACAAATTCTAAGTTTCATTGTGACATTTGTGAAATGGCAAAGAGCCATCGAATTCCTTATCTACCTAGTTATAATAAGAGTACTACACCTTTTATGACTATCCACTCTGATGTTTGGGGACCTGCTCAAGTTCCTACTTTGTTTGGTGCTTGTTATTTTGTGACATTTTATTGATGAGTGTACTCGTATGAGTTGGATCTCTCTCCTAAGAAACAAGGGAGATGTTTGTTCTATTTTCCAGGATCTATATAAAATGGTGGCTTCTCAGTATCAATGTCGAATTCAAGTTCTTCAATCTGATAATGGTGGGGAGTATATAAATTCTGATCTGGCATTTTTTTGTCAAGAAAATGGCATTCGACACCAAACCTCATGTACCGGTACACCGCAACAAAATGGTTTGGCAGAACGAAAGAATCACCAAATACTTGAGGTTGTTTGCGCGTCCTTGTTTGGAATGAACGTGCTTGGAGAGTATTGGGGCGAAGCTGTTCGCTCTGCTGCATACCTTATCAATCGGACTCCATCACGAGTCATTGGTTTCAAAACTCCATATCAAAAACTCCATGAACTTGTCTAAGCACCAATTGGTTCAAATCTGGAACCACGTGTGTTTGGTTGTACTGCATATGTCCACCAGGTTACAGGCAAGCTAGATCCACGTGCTATCCGCTGCATATTTGTTGGATACGCAGATTTCAAAAAAGGATATCGGTGCTATGATCCTAATAAAAACAAAATGTATGTAACTCAAGATGTTACATTCCATGAAGATCTTCCTTTTTTCAGTGGTCATGAGTGCTCTCTTCAGGGGGAGACAACACTTGATTTAGGTGAAGACAACACTCATGAGGTTTTTCAGGAACAAGCACAAATTGAAACTGAACCAGACACTCATGAGGTTTTTCAGGAATAAGCACAAATTGAAACTGAACCAGATGTTGATTTGTTGAATAATACACATCCTGAGGTTGTTGATGGCTCTCATGAGAATCAAGATAGTACAATTTCCCAAGGCACACCAACAGCCATAGAAACTCCGAATGTGTCTCCTCAGGTAACATCATTACCTTCATCCCCTGTAATACATGAGTCAAGTCCTCTTAAAGCTGAACCAAGATATCCGATTAGGATAAACAGAGGGATTCCAAAAAATCAGTATGATGCTGATTTTAAAGCTAAGACTAAATATCCCATTAACAATTATACCTCTTCTCATCGTTTGTCAAAATCTCATGCACTTGTTGTAACTCAATTATCCCCTGTATCTATTCCAAGTAATGTGCAGGAAGCATTGATGGATTCAAAATGGAAGAAAGCTATGAATGATGAAATGGAAGCCTTGCAGAAAAATCATACATGGGAGCTTGTATCGCTGCCCAATAGGAAAAGAACAGTAGGATGCAGGTGGATTTTTACAGTTAAACTCAATCCCAATGGAGTCATAGACCGGTACAAGGCAAGACTTGTTACTAAAGAGTATACACAGAAGTACGGAATTGATTATGGGGATACATTTGCTCCTGTAGCAAAAATAAATACCATACGAGTAATTATTTCCATAGCAGCCAATCAAGAGTGGCCACTGCGACAGTTTGACGTTAAAAATGCTTTTCTCAATAGAACTCTGAATGAAGAAATATACATGGATCCTCCTCCGGGCATAAACTGTGGTGGCAAAGTATGCAAGCTAAGAAGGGCCTTATACGGATTGAAGCAATCCCCTCGAGCATGGTTTGGAAGGCTCTCAACTTTCATGAAGAAGAATGGATATAAACAAAGTGATGCAGATCATACACTTTTCATCAAGCAAGTTTTTAAAAAGGTGACTGCTCTTATTGTGTATGTTGATGATATGGTTGTCACAGGAAATGACTCAAATGAGATAGCTGCCCTCCAAGAAAGCCTTGCAACTGAGTTTGAACTTAAAGATCTTGGGCACCTGAAATATTTCTTAGGCATTGAAGTTGCAAGATCGAGCAACGGAATCTCTCTTTGCCAACGAAAGTATGTGCGGGATTTACTAGCAAAAACTGGTATGCTGGACTGTAAACCCATTGAAACTCCTATTGAGATGAATCACAAGTTAGCCATTCAACAAGACCAAACTCCAACCAATAAGGAGAGGTACAAAGATTAGTTGGGAGACTAATATACTTATCGCATACGCGTCCTGACATTGCATATGTTGTGAGCATTGTAAGTCAATTCATGCATGCACCAAGTGATCATATGGAGGCTGTTTACCGGATCCTGCGATACCTAAAATCTTCTCCAGGAAAAGGATTATTTTTTGCTAAAAAAGGAGATCTAGAAATCAAAGGGTATACAGATGCAGATTGGGCTGGAAGTCAAACTGATCGAAAGTCTATATCAGGGTATTTCACATTTGTTGGAAGCAGTCTGGTAACCTGGCGAAGCAAGAAACAAAAGGTTGTAGCAAGATCAAGTGCAGAGGCAGAATTTCGTGGAATGGCACAAGGTATCTGTGAATTGCTATGGATAAAACGCATTGTACAAGATCTCGGTATATGTCTGTCAAAACCTATGATGTTATTATGTGATAACAAGGCGTCCATAGCAATTGCAAATAATCTTGTTCAGCATGACAGAACCAAACATGTGGAAGTTGATCGACACTTCATCAAAGATCATCTTGACAAGGTACAATTAGTCTTCCGTTTGTCACATCAAAAGATCAACTAGCAGATGTTCTAACAAAGGCTGTATCTAGAAACGAGTTTCAAAGCTCACTTAACAAGTTGGGAATGATAGACATATATTCACCAGCTTGAGGGGGAGTGTTGACGCGAGCAATTTAAGGAGCAAAATCTGCTGTCAAATTTGGCAGATTGTGTAAATATTTCGTTTCCTTATTTGTAATTAATTGTCTTATGTTTAGGCTGTAATATAGGATCTTGATGTACCCAATTAGTATATATATAGGCTGTAATAGCTTAAAAGGAAATATATGAGAACGATTCTCCATCATCTTTTCTACAGATTGGGTATTAAGTGGGACCACTTGTGACCCCTCCAGCCTTTCCTGGAAATTTATTTGGAATGGTAATTCTGTATAAGGAAATTGTTTTGACGATCTTTCTTGGAAATTACTGAATCAGTTTAATCACTAGTTGAATTTTGAGTGGGAAATTACCCGATTTTCCCAACAAAAACTGGCACCATAACCGGCGCTGGATAAATGCAGAAATATTTTTCCAAATTTGTTTCTTTTCTTTACAACACGGACAGTTTTTTTCTTTTCCTTCTTCTTCATTTTCATCTTTCCTTACAATTGCACCCTAACTTGATTGGATCACATACTTGACCATCTCTATACGACTTGGAGCTATGCCTAAATATTTTGCGTGGAAATTGCTGCAATTCATGTATTTGTGGAATGATCAAGTTCAAAACAACTAATTTGGTATTATTCAAGGAGCTGTGTCCAATTGATCTAGAAGCTGTGATATATTATGATAATATGATCGTCTTTTATGCTGCAGAATATATAATATGACCATGGAGGTAGATCATTCTGGGTACATGGTACTGGTCCCTTTGGTTGTTTACCAAAAGCCTTGTCGACTCTCCTAATAACAGCCTCACAGATCGATGAAGGTCGATGTGCAATTCCTGCTAACGACGTCTCCCAATACTACAACCACAAATTGAAGGAAGCTGTGGTCCAGCTCCAATGTGAACTTCTGGATGCTGCTACCACGTATGTTGATATCTACTCCATAAAGTACGACCTCATTAGCCACGCCAAGAAATATGGTAAGTAAATATGACTTTTATATAGGCAAAATTAGTTAAAATGTACCTCACGTTTCACTCTGTCCTTCACTTTTAAAATACTAACTTTATATTCCTTACAAATTCAAATTGATAAAATTTATTTTCAACCCTATTTTCGACTATTTTTCAACCTATATGAACTGTAGAATCTGACTTTTTATATCTTAAAAAATGGTCATATGGTGTCAAAATGGGTGACTTGGATGGGTTTGGATTAGGTAAAATGGGTAATGGGTATAAGTGAGTCGATCCATTTATACCCATTTAATTAGATGGGTATAAATGGGTAAGTTAAAAAATGAATTGTGTAACCTAATTACCCATTTATAACCCATTTATTTTAACTTTTTGTAAACTCATTTAAATTCATTTTTGCAAACTAAGTTATCAATTTATACCTACTTATAATGCTCAATAAACCTAATTACAATTTTTTTTCCATTTATACTCTATGTCGCAAAATTACATATTATTTAGGAATTGAATAATAAGAATATAAAAATTTGAACTAAGTACTATAAAAGTTAAATAAAAACTTAATCCAAGAATTTTGAACCCCTAACATTTTTTTCATATATAAATTTAAAATTTCATTTTAGAAAGATAAGAAAAGAGGCTAAAACTTATCATAAATTGGTAATACCGAAAAATGAGCAAGTTAACAAACTAAGATAAAATAAAATAATAAGATAAAACCAACAAATAATAATAATAATAAAACAAAAGTAGTTAACATCATGACAAAATCTGGAAAAAAAAAAAAGGATGGGGAAGAGAAGACACTTAGGGGAAGAGAATTCTAAATGGGTTAATTAGCTTTGATGGGTTATCCAATAATATTCATTTATTAAATGGATATTATTGGATAACCCATTTATACCCATATACATAAATTTAAGATACCCATACCCGTCTATTCATAGGCGGGTATGGGTAAATTTAGTTAAGTGGGTTGGTTTGCCACCTATATATGTGGGTCACATGATAAATTCAAACTAAAAGTGATAAAAACTTAGGTCAAAACCATATTTTACTGAGTTAAATTTATAAGAGACATAAAGTTAGTTTTTTAAAAGTGAAGGAAAAAAAAATCATTTGACAAAATGTAAAGTACATTTTAAATAATTTACTCTACGTTTTAAATAATTTACTCTTTTATATGTGTATGGGACACTATTAGAATAAACCGATTTATGTATATTAATATAAGGAGATTCTATAGTTCATTTCGAATATCATACCCTCTTATTTAATTTCACCGTTGGAAGGTAAAATAAGTATTTTGACCCTTAAGTTGTAACAATTTCAAACATTTGAAATATAGACAACTATCATGCATCATCTAGAGATACAAAATGAGGAGATAGTTTCCAAAAGGAATAATAGAGTTTTCGACTAACATTAGAGTTCTTCTATTCTGTGAAGTACATAATAGCATGTGACGTCGTGCAAATATTTAGTTTTCTCATGCAAATAATGTTGGAGATTTATAGTGATCCATCCCTATTCATGGTGTTCTTATCTAGCGCCCTAAGGGAATAAAACACGTTCAAAAAAATTATATATACCCACAAACACACAACATTCACACCTTAACATGCTATTTCTTTCTTCTTCATTTTTTTTTGTTTTTTTGGGGGGGGGGGGGGGGCGGAGAAAACAATATGAAGATTGTGAATAATGGCTTGGGAAAATTTTCCATGGCATTTGATTAGCTAGCTAAAGTTTTCAGGTGATGCCAACTATTGATTTCAAACATATATCTTTAACCAAACCGAAATTTTCTGGATTTAGATTTGCAGGTTTTGAGCAGCCTTTAATAACTTGCTGTGGATATGGAGGAAAGTTCAACTATGATCCAAACTTCCTCTGTTCGGAAAAGGTCAAGTTGCACGACATAGAAACTATTGTTGGATCATGTGAAGATCCATCAGATAGGGTTGGGATGGAATACACTATACTCAAGCTGCTAATCACTGGTTTTTTGAAAGAATTATAGATGGTTCCTATTCAGACCCACCCATTCCCTTGGAAATGGCTTGTCACAGCGAAATGGAAATGACTTTGTTAGCTCAAGCAAATTAAGTAATTTTAATTAAAGATAGAAGGGTTATAGTTTGCTTTGATCCTAGTATTTATAGATGGAGATAATAAGAATGAGGAGGAAGAAAATTTCTGTGATTGTATGTCTACTTAAATAAGAAGTGATTCTGAGACAGGTGATTAATTCTTAAAGTAAAGGGGATTAATTGTAGCATAGAATATATCTCTCCTCCAGCATTTTATACACTCATGTCATAATATATCAACTTTGATGTTTGAGTAGATTGGTTCTTTAACCTGAATAACATTTCTGTTTGCCAACTTTTCAAGTCTGCAACAAATTAATTTGAATTCTTGAGTATAATTCTGGAAATTACATATAAATCAAAGTATTACTACTAGAAACTAGAAAACTGTTTGAACTGGGGTGGCTTGATAAATTGTAATCGAGATGAGCTTGATTAATAAGCAAGCCATTTTTTTAGTTTGATAGAAACTTTATAGGATTTTGTTAAGATGAAATTGCATGGTTCAATCACTTCTGACCATATCATTGCAGGCTAGTTGTAATATTATCCAAAAAAAAAAAAAGTACGATTATATTATTAACAAATGTAAATCAAGTTTAAACTCTACCACCTACCAAACATCCTCTCCACTCCACCCCCCCCTCCGGCCCCAAAAAAATTAGAAGTCCTATACATATTGTGAGTTTTATCTCAAAAAACTTTTTGTTTAGGTTTTTGACCCCTCCAAAAAACATGATATTAAGTCCTTAGCCTCCCTCAAACTTGAAGATTCGTAAGATACAACCAAAAGTTTTTTTTACAATCAAATTATATCATTCATCACATGTACTAAAACTACTAAACTATTACAAATTTGATAATTTAGATGATAGTAGATTATTCCCACAATTAAGTAATGGCCAATTATTTAATCATACAAATTAATCATCTCGAGAACGAACAGAGAATATATAAATACTTACAAATAAATGAAACAATAAAAATAAATTAAATCTCACAGTATTGTTGAACCAAAATAAAGAGGGTTCGGCCACTCTTTATGGTGGGATCGCAGCCAAAAAATTATTAAGATTTGTCTTTTAGAGAGAGAACTAAAGTAACCAGAGAAAAATGAGAGAGAGAGAGAGAGAGAGATGACGGTGTCCCCTGTGTGGCTCCTCTCAGACGTCTTATGGTACTATTCTAATTAATCCTACTGCCTAATAAGACAATAAGTCAAAAGTTGTTGGATCATTTGAACTTGGAAACGAATATTAGATTGGACAAGTAATCTAATTGGCTTCCAAATCTATCTTCTAATTAAGTTGGTGTCCCACGCGACTTAGTTGATCGCACATGATGCCTTAGTCGCTAAATCCCATGATCTCCGAACTTCGCACCAGAATTAGACGAACACGCGTCATATTAACACAAGTCTTCTAGAATTTCCCTCTTTTAAGCCCCTTTTATCTCAAAATATCCTAAAAATAATAATAAATATCAAATATAAGTAGAATCTATCGATTAACAAACACCATGTTTTATCGCAATCGACGGAGAAATATTCACAAATTGAATGCAAAATTAACCCTTTATCAATAATCAAACACATGCCCCTGGGGTTAGATCACCCGGTCTGCGGCTGGAAAACCACTCGCAAGGTCGTGGGATCGAACCTCACATAACGCCTGGGTGCGGTTGGGGTGGCGCTGTACTCCAGGCGCAGGGGATTAGTCGGTCGCCTTCGGGTCTTGACCCGGACACCCCTGTGTTGACAAAAAAAAAAAAAAAAAAAAAAAAAAATCAAACACATGCACGCTATTAGATAAAACCAATTAGTTAGGCTAGCTGTCTTGACTATCAATAGGAGATATAGCAGTATCTGATACTGGCCATCCGTTGAATCAATTTTATTCAGGGTACCAAGCTCAAAGGTCATAGTTGACCATACAAACATCTTTTCATTTTTCCATACATAACCGAAAGCATGGAAAAGATTTTCCATACAAACATCTTTTCAGGCTTATCTTCTGTCCCTGCCAAATTATCATTCTATAGTGAGTCGTGAGGACAAAAGAGTAGCTAAAGCGAAAAAGACTTCCTATATATGCATGGCTCGATTACTTAAGTCTTGTTTGATAACCTAATTCAGCATTTAAAATTAATAGATTCATATCTTACTCTGTTCAGACACACTTAATAATCAAAAATTAAATATTTAAATTAATTAAATAGTGTTGAATATCTTAGACAAAAATTATCACTTAATGTAATATACATTTAAATGTATCAAATTTAGTATTTAATAAAAGAGACCTGATATATACATGCATGCTCTACTACTTAAACTATGTATACTCACTTATTAACAATATTAAATATTTACAGCATCAGCATTCCGTCAATTGACAGTTAAAAAGTCATAGTTGACTAAAGACAAACCGTGGAAAAGAAAAATAAAGCGAGAAAGTATTAAAGAGTCATTTATGCTCTCAATTAAAACAAACTTGTGGTATAAATGACTATTGGTAATATCATACCTTCATTGTGAAATGGGTTAAATTTCTCAAAACAAAAAAAAAAAAAAAGAAAGGGGGAAGAAAAGGTTTCAATGTGCAAAATTATAAGTTTAACAAAGATTTTCATGAAGTAAAGCTATGCACATGGTCTAAATATAATAAAATGTGTTACAGTTGTAATTTGCATATGTTGTACCTCCATTGTAATTTTTCCTCTGGGGAATAAAAACTAACAAGTCAGAAAGGTACTTAGTACTAATTAATTGCAAATATATTCTGGCAAAACATGATTTACAAAGAAGAAAAACAGTAACTTTGGCATCTACTTATTTGTGACTGATATATCGACTTTCTTAAATAGATAATCAAACTTATTTTTCCTTCACGTTTCAAGTTTTGTCATCGTCTTTCAACAAAAGATATAAAGATAATTTAAGAAGAACAAACTTGATGTGCGGGATTGAGTCACAAGAACATACTAGTTCGATCTTGAGTTGTCCGAGAAAGTGGCAAGGTGACGTCTTATCTTCTTGAGTACTGCCACAACATCTTTCATGTTAGTTCGATCTTGTGGGCATTCAGTGCAGCAACTTAAAGCCAATTTGAAGATCATTGAAACACACTGCAATTTCTCATTGAAATGCTCATCTTGTTGCCTGAGTAAGTTGGCATCTATAATCTGAATTGTTGCATTAGGCAGAGATTCTTCTATCCAACTCTTCAGGCTCAAATCATCTTTGAACATTTCATCACTAGGCTTCATTCTTGAAAATGTTTCCATCAGAAGTATGCCAAAACTATACGCATCAATTCTTATTGACACCTGCCCTTCAACTCCATACTCTGTAGTACAAAAGGGAATCTATCATAGTTAAAGGGAAAGAAGAAAAAATTCAAGAAATTGACACATAATTCTACAAATTTTAGGTATATAAACAATTCAAAGGGATGTCAAATATGCTGAACCTGGTGCCATGTATCCAAGCGTTGCAAGAGTCTGGGTATGCATGGCACTATTTTCTTCATCCAAAATCTTTGCTATACCAAAATCACTTACATGAGCAACCATGTTTTCGTCAAGTAATGTGTTGCTAGGTTTCAGATCACAGTGAACCACAGGTGTTGTATAACCAAAATGCAGGTATTCCAATGCAGAAGCAACATCCGTCATTATGCTTGTTCTTTGCAGCAGATCCAAGCAAAGGTTGTGGGAGTACAACCATTTCTCAAGGCTCCCGTTGGGCATATATGCTAGCACTAAGGCTTTGAATTCCAGGTTAGAGCAACTGCCAATCACTTTGGTTAGGTTTCTATGCCGAAGGTTACGTAGGACTTGACATTCCGCATCGAAACTCCTAGAAGTGACTTCGGTTAGAAAAGTGAAAACTTTCACAGCTACCACTGTCCCATCCGCTAGAATACCTTTATATACAGATCCAAAACTCCCTTTGCCAATTAAATTGCTTTCATCATAGGCAATAGTTGCTTGAACAAGTTCATAATATGAAATCCTTCTTGGCACTACCACCGGCAATAAGTCAACATTTCTTGAAACTGCATCCTTCCTCCGGCATCTTAAAAGTAAAATTACAACAGTTGTAGCAGCAATACCTGATATAATGCCTAACATGTGAAATAGTTTCTTTCGACTTGATTTGTGAATCTGACGAGATTGCATGGAGGAACATGAAACCTTTCATCACCACACAAATCATCATTAAACATGAATGATTCGTATGTGAAGTTCTTGAAAGGACCACTACTGGGAATTTCTCCTCTTAAGTGGTTGAAAGAAAGATTAATGTAATCAAGCTGCAAAAGTGTTTCCAAGGACTTTGGTATCGGACCCGATAGGTTATTATTAGATAGGTCCAAAAGTTCCAAGCGTAACATGTGACCTAGTGAGGCTGGAATAGGTCCCTCAAGCTTATTTTGTGCTAAAGAAAGGTTGGCTAAACTTTGCAAAGCTCCAATGGAACTTGGAATATTCCCACTAAGATGATTTCCTGACAGATCCAATATTGTTATCATCTTCAAAATTTCAATTTCTTGAGGTAGTGAGCCATTCAGCGAATTAGAGGACAGACCCAAATAAAATAGATCAATGAGGTTCCACAAGCTTGCAGGTATGCTTGAATTTAAGAAGTTCCCATCAAAGGAAATTTTTCTCAGTGAACTAACATTACTTATGCATGATGGTATTGACCCACGAAGCTGATTTTTACCCAGATATAATCCGTACAAGCTCTTTAACTCACAAAGACTATCTGGAATCGAACCACTCAATCGGTTGTCATAGAAATTTAAAACTTGAAGTTTTTGCAATTGTTTCACTGTGGCTGGAACGGGTCCACTCAGGTGATTTACAAATAGACTCAAAACCACTAGATTGCTCAAATTCCCGAATGCATCGGAATGCTTCCCTTGATTCCGCAATCATATGCATAGAATCTCTCCATAGAAGTTGAAAGATTCCCAACCGATATTGGAAGAATACCGTGCAGCGGATTGTCATTAAAAGACAATATTTCTAGGTACTTACAATTTGTCAAGTAATTGATGAAACTCAATTCTCTTGATGAAGGTTCAATTGTCAAATGATTTGCAGAGAGATCTAGCCATCTTAGAAGTCTTAGGTTTCCAAGAGAACTTGGAATTGGACCACTGAATCTGTTTGTATCCAAGTATAAGAAAGTTAGCTTTAGATGCATTTGAGATTGAGGCTGGTATCAATCCAGAAAGTTTATTGCTCTGTAGGGCTAGTCTTCCCAGTGTTGAGATGTTGAAAATTCCGGCTGGTATGGAGCCAGTTAGGCTATTGAACTCCATACTAAGTACTTCTAGATGCTTTAGGTTGCCAAGGTCTTGCGGAATAATACCTAGAGAATTATCAAGTTTATATATGTTAATGCATAAATGAATTTAAGACATTATACTTGGTAAAATATAAGATTTTTAACTAAAAAATTCTCAAACAACTAAAAGCAATTTGTACTGTAGTTAGTTGTGTGTATGTGCTCGTGTGTGCGTACTTTTAACACGATAAAAAAAAGCAATTTTGAATATAATTGACATAAAGTCGTTGTTTTTTTTTTTTTTGAACACAGCAATGCATGTAGCATTATGCATAAACATGGCTAACATTTACAAGCATGTTAAATTCAACTTAGCAAATAATCATATGATTTTCTTGTACATGATCATGTAATTATATGTTTTACAAACTTCTAGTAAATTAGTAACAACTATTTCAACTCCAAAAATTGATTTAAGCAAAACAAGTCGTGCAGGTTAGTTTGAACCATTCTTTTGGATGCCTTCCTTTCTTTCAAGCTAAGTTCCAACTTTTTCTTAAATTTTCTTTTTGCTTGTGTTCTTTAGTTAATAAAAGCAATTCCTGATGACATACATGGTTGACCAATTTATGTCAATCGTATATACTCTGGCCTGCCTAGAATCTAATTTCAGAAACTGCAAAAGTTTTTCTAGTGCGTAATAAGTTCAAACTCACGAACTTTACATAGCAAAATGTTTAAAATGATATTCTTTTTTTTTCTGTCAATTCACATCACTATAAATGCTGAAAAATCTGCTCTTTGGTATTTTGTTGAGGTGATGGGGTCACATGCATTTTTTGATAATTACAATTTTACAAGTCATAGAGTTTTTATCTTATCTTACCATTTTAGCTTATTTGTGCTTCTATTCACGTTTACTAAAAAATGCTTTCCATTCTCTTTTTCAGTTTACAAAAGCACTGCCACCTCTTTGCATTCATTTGATAGAATATTACTTTTCTATTCTTCAAATGCATCCGTAAAGAAGTTTTGAGAACTCCTTTCAAAAGAATTTCATTCCTCCAATTCAAAAATTTATTCATTAAGAAATTAAGGAAATTTGCTTCAATAGAAGCTATATTCCTAGATCAGAAAAGTTAAATGTCTGTATTGCATATATACCCTGTACTACTCGAAGCATTCTAAGGTATTGTAAAGGAAATCTATTGCGCAAACTTCAATAGAAGAAAGCTATAAATATTGGTTATTAACACTAAGGGAACTATCACACTTTATTTATTTTGTAAAGTAATTTTTGCGTAGATTTTCAGGGATTATTTATTATTTCAAACGAAGAATATCTGTTCACAGAAGATTGCATTGAAAGCTTCAAACGAAGAATATCTTTTCACAGTAGATTGCATTTAAGCTTTGCTTTCAGGATACTGAAGTAAAATATAGACACCAAAAAGAACTTAATTGCACGTTATAAAGCAATATCTATATATACTCTTTGTAAATTAGAGCATACCTTCAATTTTTCTTTGTTGATTTCCAAACTAAATCTTCTAATTAAGATTTGCAATTGAAAAATCTCAAACAACTCGTATATATTTTCACAACAACCACAGCAAGAGATATATATGTCAATAGGCTTTGAAGACAATAGAAGAAGGCAAAATTTTGTATATATAATTGACATGGAATTGCTTGTCTTTTCACATAAATGCATATATTAGTGTCCATTAACATGGTTAATAATTACAAACATGATAAAATGTAATAAATAACCATATCAAAAGACACACACACACATATATATACATACATATACATGTGTGTATGTGTGTGTATTACTCCACACCAAATAAAAATTGGAAACCTTAATTTTGGCAGTTTGCTGAGGTGATAGTCTCATGCATCTTTGATTATTCTGTCCTTGAAATGTTATACAATCCTTTTTTTTTTAAGGTAAAAATTTATACAATCCTTACTACTTCCATTTGTATATGTTAACAAGAAAATACTTTCCGTCTTCTTTAGTTACAAAAAGTATTACCACCTATTTCTTCAGGCTTGATAAGTAGTTACCTTTCTATTATTCTCTAATTTCCAAATGCATTCACAAAGCAAATTTCTAATATGCCTTCACGAACAAATTTCTTCCAACTAAAAGTTGTTGTATTGATTAAGAAATTAAGAAAATTTATTTCAATAGAAGCTATATAGATATCCTAAATGACTATAAAAATGGGATTCAAACGTTGGGGACATTACATAAACCTTGCTTTTAGTTAAAATCCATAATTAGTCAGAATCTTATGGAACTCTTGATTTAGTTAAGCAATTCATGGATATAGTTTCCAACTATCTCGGTAAAACAATTTTCATTTTGTTGACCTGAAAATAAAAATGTTCTTGGCCTGTTAACTTGAGATTTTACATTCAAGCACTAAGAGAAATTCGCATGGCACACATGTCATGGGACAAGCATTTATCTTACTTTTGTTAAAAGATTTTAAATATTTCATCAAAATATTCTTCTCATTAATAGATAAGAAAAAAAAGTTATTCAAGTTGACCGTGTATTAAATATAAACTATTCTTCTCATTAAATGTAGAGTTAGGATGGTACCATCTAAAATGTGTTGCAGCAAGATATATGATAGGGATATAATTATGCATTTTATTTGTGGTTATTTTGGTCTTAATTTTGGCAGTTTATTATGCAAAGTATATTGGATTTCTGCTCATAATAGGTATTTGTGTTACTTATAGGCAATTGGTGTTAAAAGTGATAAAAAAGGGCAAATTCCAGAAGACTGCACCTTCTCTGGCGTGCCCACGCCAGACAACGCAGAGTTGCGTGAAAAAGCGGGATTGCGGGTCCTATTCCTGGGGCCACCGCCTTTCCTTGGAGCCATACTTTAAACTTACGTGGGATTAGGAAATAGAATTGGAAGATGACTTTTGGTAACAATCCAATGGGGGGAAAAGGAAGCAAATTTTTGAAGAAACCCACCTATTAGTTCGGCTAGCAAAAAGGAAACGGCGCGCGCAAACAATAAAAAGAAGACAGCAATAGACTAGGGATGGATCTTGGTCTTGGACTTTTTTTTTTCTCCGCTTTTGCTTTATCATTCCTGTGGCCGAGCGGCCGCATAACTTTTCGCTGCGTTTTTTCATTCAGCAAAAAACTCCATGAAAACTCCAAATTGCTTCATCGTTATGTGGCAAGACTAATTTCTTTTATCTAGTTGAGGAATAAATCAAGGATCGGGGCACCATAACTGTGAGATCGTTTTTAATTGTTTATTTTTAATTTATATGTTCATGGATATTTAATTATTCTCTATTTTTCCCTGAGTTATTATTGTTTAGATTTATTGGATAATTAGGCCTGTTATTCGATTGTCTAAATAATTGTCAGCCAATTAGGATGTTGGCGCATCGCCTTTAAGCATCTTGATTAGTGGCAAACGAGACAATTTCACCGCCTCGCAAGCGGTCTAATTTGGATCGTGGGATAATTAATCTAGCCTAAATAAACCCGCATGTGTGTTTGTCATCTAGAATTGGGTCTTTCTAATTCCTAATGTTGTGGCTACATTAAATCCTGTGAGCGTTTCTGGGGTTGTCTAGTCACAAGAGGGTAGTTTATGAGCGTCTCTTGACTACCATAAAATTAAGAAAAGATTGGTGGTTGGCGCGTCGCTTGACCACTATAACCAGTTTATTCGTGAGTATATGAATTGTCCTTGTATCCGTGATCAGTTGTGTGCTTCAGTGCCAAGATTAATTCCTTGACTAGGTTGTTTTAATTAATTGCTATTTGTGTAATTTGGTTCCTGCT